CTCCATCCTATGTGTGGCTTACGGTGAGCTGAGGACTGCCCACAAAGTTCAAGCGGGGAGGCAGCTCATGCACAGTGGTACTCGGTTTGCAGTCAGATTTCTGCAGTGGCACTAAGGTGGGAGCAATTATCTTTGGGGCCCACAGAGGGGACTAGAAGAAGCTACAAAGCTAGCTTTGATGGAGCAGCAAAAACTGGTCGAGCAGAGAGTTGGAAGGGCAAAGGGAACAGAGTGTGCAAAGGCATGGAGGTGTGAGACATCTGGGGTGGCTGAGTCTCAGATGGGCTTAAGGGAATGGAGGTGATGAAGCTGAAGAGCATCAAGGGCTCTTTAATAGCAGTCTGGAGTTCGACTCAAGCCCACAGGTGATGAGGAGCCATGTAGGGGTGAACTTGGACTTCTGCTGCTGATTTATTTGCTGCCCAGGCTGGGTGTGTGGGTTCTGCTGTCTCTGGAGTGGGGGCGGGGGTGCCAGTTCCTATCCTTTGACCTAATGCCTTGCTTTAGACATTCCTCTTGGCCTCTGGCTGCCCACTTCTGCCCCACTGCTGACTCTAAGCCTACTCACCTGTCAACACCTGTGGCTCTGATGCTCCGCCTGCCCTTCTGCCCCTCCTCTACTACAGGCCCTAGTACCAAGGATTTATACTTGGTCTCGGGTCCTGGGGTCACCCAGGTTACCTCTTCTGCCAGGAAGCCTGCCTGGATTGAGCATCCCAGTTTCACCCCAGGCAGCAGAGCAAGTGACCCCTGGAGAGTCTATGGCTCTGTCTGAGACAGGTGTGTATTTTTAGGCCAGAGTCGGGTGGGGGATACGGGATGGGAAAGGGGCTGCTCCTGGGGGCTCTGAGACAGGGAGGGATGAGATTCTTGACATGTAGGATCTCATTCAGGTCTCAGCCCTCCCTCATGGATGTTGGGATTGTCACCCTGTTTTACAGGGGAGGCCCAGGGTCACTTGGATGAAGTTGGGATTCCAACCCCTGCCCTTGACTTTTCTTCCTACAGGAAGAGAGGTAGGGAGGGAGGAAGAGAAGAAATAGGAGCTGTCGAGGGGATTAGAGCCCTTGTACCCCCCTGTTCCCCCCTCCTCCCCAGGTGATGTCTGCTCAGGGAGGCACTGAGGGAGGAGCTGGATCATCATCCCCATCTTGTAGACAGGCTCAGTTTCCTGAGGGAGGGGCTGGGATGAACCGTGGACAGTGATGGAACCTAGAGAGACATCCATGCCTGGTTTGGGGCTTAGATGGATGGACAAGACCCTGGACTGAACTGGGAGGGTCCTGGAATTCCCCAGGTGCCAGGGAGGCCAGGAGGTAGCAAGGGCTTACAGTGGGTGGGGCACAAGCCTTGGGTCTCCTGTCTGTGATAGAAGCCAGGAAACTTGGCTTGAGAACCAAGGCAGGGATGGCCACTGGTGTGGGCAGCAGGGCATTGGCACCCACCACATTGTGGGTATGAGCCCTGGTTTTGGAATCCAACAGCCCAGAGACCTAGACCTGGCTCCATCGCTTCCCCACTTCTTAGCCCACCTAAGCCTCAGTTTCCTCCCTTTGTAAATAGTATGTAATGAACCTAGTCTGAGTCTGGCATGTAGTAGGTGCTGCTCTTCTCTTGCCTGGGTATTTGAAGTATGTGCCAGTGGTATGCTAGAGCTGGCTTGCACTGGCTCATGAGAGCCATCTTGCACACTTCCCAATTTTGCACTCAGTGATCACGTCATACTGGCAGCCTAAAACTGGCTACGATGGGAGTATCCATGCCACATAAATCAGCAAAAGCTATAAATCAAATCAGTTGGGATCTTTTCCCTCCTGGAGAGCTGGAGGAAATCCATGCTATGGGCTCTCTCTAGCCCCCAAGGCCACAAAAGGGAGGCGGGGTAATGGTGGAGTGCTGGCTGGGCCAAGCAACCTAGAATTCTAAGTCTATGGGTCCTTTTGGACCTGGGGAGATTGGACATAGTCATAGTGCCAGACAGCTCTCTGTAGACATGGGACAGGAAATGGTGGGACCCCTTTTCTCTCCTTCACTCCCCTTCCTCAAGAGATCTGACAGGCTTTGGCTGGAGAAGTAAGATTGGATGAGGTTGAGCTATCAGAGAATGAAGCTGTGCTGGAAGGAGAAATGAGGTTGTACTGGAAGATAAATAAGGTTGTACTGTCAGGGAATGAGGTGGTACTTGGAAGCAAGGTGAGGCTGCATTATTAGATAAATGAGGTTGTACTGTCAGGGAATGAAGTGTACTTGTAGGAGAGATGACGTCCTGCTGGATCAGTCGGGTTGCACCGTCAGAGAACACAGCCACACCACAGGAGGAAGGAGAGCCTCTGACTTGGAGGATAAATGAGGGTGTCCTGCTGGATAAATGAGGGGGCCCATCAGGTGAATAGAGTGCTGTTAGCAAATGAGGTTGTACTTGCTGGATAAATGGGACTGGTGTGCTGGATAAATGGGGTTGTGCTGTCAGATGAATGCATTACTGCTTGTGGGCGAAGGGTGTCCTGGGAATAGATGAGGGTGTCCTGCTGGATAGATGAGCTGCCGCCACCAAATGGATCAGACCCTGACCACAAGGGAGACACCATCAGCGAGGACGAGGGTATTCTGTTCCCACTGGGGCTCCTGGAGTGTCTTCTGGCTCGGATGGTACAGGCTGTGAGGACCGTTGGCTGCAGCAGGCCCTGGGTTAAACAAGTCTATCTGAGAGGCAGGAGGGTGCAGGGTAGGGGCTGGAGTGGGCAGTTGCTCCGTTCACTCTGTGAGACGATCTTCACCTCTCCTGGAAGCCTTATTCCTCTCTGCCTTTCTCCTTGTGGGTCATACTCTTCCTGAATTTCTCCACTCCACACTGGTCTCTTATTCTAGGTTGCCTTCTCTCAGCCCAGTTTGGAGAAGCTCCTGTCATGTGCCTGCTACTCTGCCCAGTCTCATTAATTCTTCCTGTGACATAGTATTACCTCCCTTCTCTCCCTCATTCATTCTACAAACATTTATTAAACTCCTTATATATATCAAACTCATGAGGTACAGTAAAGAAAATGGACAAAAATCCTTCATGAATAAGTGAGGCTTCATGATCAGGCCCCCTTATATTCTAATGTTCTAATTTCCTTATCTTCTAATATAAGGAAAATCAGACAATAAGTAATAAATACAGAAGATAAATTATATATACAACATATAATTTATTAATTTATACATATACTGTATATATATA